AGAAGAAACAACAACAAATTTGCTCTTTTCTGTGTGTTTGTGTATTTCCTTGGATAACAAGATCATCTATAGTTCATTTATGTTTGCTGGCTCCTTACACTGGTTTGACGTTCCTAAACTTTGGCTAATATGCTTTATATTTTCATTCCCTGTATTTGTGAGAACCAAAGTGAGATAGCCCCATGGTTTTCATCATGCAACTGCATACCTTTATGTGTACACCAATAGAGTTTGCTATGTGGCAAGAATACAGTTAATTGCCTTATGGACATATTTGTTCATGTTACTCCTGTATTCTTGTTTACTATCATTGTTACTATTTTACATTTTCTAAGATATTGTTTAAGCTACTAGACTCTAAATTGTTTTCTTCCACATCATGATCTAAAATCTCCTTTGCAGCCAAATATATTTGAATAACTGTTATTATTTGGAAAGTAAGAAACAAAAAAAATTCAAAACATTGCCTTTGAGCTGATTCCAACTCATAGCAATAATATCTATGGTTCCAAAGCTGTAAATCTTACAGGAGCAGACAGTCTCGTCTTTATCCTATTGATTGGCTGGGAGTTTGAACGTTTGACCTTTCATTAGAAGTCCAGTGTCAACTTGATGGATACCACCCCCAAGGTTCATGTTTCATTGTCATGTGACCATAAGTATTTTCAAAGAATTGAATCAGTTCAGAGGTTAATATGTTCATGATCTCTGCTAGGCAGTAGTATCTGATGTTTATTAAACACTAGAGCATAATCATTCTTCAGATGTTCATTCACTTAATCATCACAACAGCTCTGAAAGATAGGTTCTGTCCATAATTTTAATTTACAGGAGATGAAATAGAGGTTCAGAGAAGGTAAATAAATTATATAAATTCAAATAATTAGGAATAAAAACATTGTCTACATTCTTAAGCATTAGACAAAGTTTTAAACACACATGGCTTAGCTTGTTTCCATTCTCACCAGAGCTACTCTGAGTCAACTCTGAATATCAGGTTTCTGCTTTAGTGATGTCCAACCAAGAGTATGGGGAGTAAAACTTCACCCCGGCAGCTCTCAGATTAAAGAGAAATTGGTGTAGGGAAGATAGCACACCTTCAGACAATGTTTTGGGCGAGAAAATAAATTAAATGAAGGCTGTTTGGAAATTAATAAATTGGGTCACAGAGGCTAATTAGTTGATTTTTGATGAGTGGTTTCATTCAAACAATAATGGAAAACATAACAAAGTGGATGCAGGAGATAACCAGAGAATGCTTATAATGCATTTGAAGTGGGGCATGACTGGGAATTATTGTTGAGGAGTAATAAATGTGATGAAAATAGATGCACAAGGAAAGTCCAATTTACTGTAAATAAATTATTTCTAAATAAAAAAAATAAGACGGAAGTAGAATTTTAAAGCAGAAGCATCATCAGTAAAGGAAGTCTCTATTGATTTGTAGAAGTGTGCCAGGAACTTCTCACCATTGATGCCACTTCTTAGAAAGAGGGATCTGTGGGGAGAAGATTTATTCTTTATTTATTTATTTATTTATTTTTCTATTTTTCCCCCCTCCTCCCCTGCAAGATTTATTCTTTTGCTTGATATACACGCATACACACACACATATATATGTTTCAATTATTGAACAGAACATTGGTCAATGTACTGACTTTGTTTTTACTGGGCTACTGAAACAGTGGGAACCATCAATTCCAACTACAAGCTTTTCTGTTGATTTCTTTTTAGGAATTAAACCCTTTTCCTTGAGCTAATGGGTACTGAGTGATTCATTTATTTATTGTTTCATTACATGCATGGGGAAAGCCTTCCTGAATATAATGGGCACTGAGTTTCATTCTGTTGTTCAGAAAACAGTTAGCTATGGGTCGGAACTGATTGATCGCACCTAAAAACACCACCACAATTGGGAGAGGCTGACATACCATATGGAATTGGGACTGTTGGGCCCCATGGAATTCGGTTTTGTGCCACTCATAAAAACTAAGTTTGGAAAGAAACTGCTAAAAAATATGTAATATTGGGTATAGTCATGATAGATTTAAACATCCAAGATCCCCCCATCACAGTCATTGAACAACTCCAAAGGAGCAATATATCAGTTAGGAAAATATATTCAACTTGTCTACTCTATAGTTGTTCATTGAAGGAACCCCTGAAAGTAAAAGAAAATGAAAGCAAAAGGTATTTATATGAGAGAGAGAGAACAGAAGTGCTTGAGTATTCAAGTTAAATATTATTATACTTAGTGTGTTAGTCCAGAATGACTAGAGAAACAAATTCATATATATGTGATTTTTTTTCAAAGTCTAATTTTAATTCAGACTGGGCAAACAAGTAGAAGTGTAAGAAAGCTAATTGTATTGGCTGACACAGATGTGCCAAATGTAAAACAGTGGATTATTAGCAGAACTATTTACATGCATATTTGCAAGCTGTTCTTTTTAATATAAGTTTTATTTTTTAGTTAGTTGGAAAA